ATGAAGAATTTAGCCCTTTCCTATTCTGAGAGAAAGCTTAATTCACTTTCTTTTCCCAGGATTGTGAGTCCTGACATGTTGGAAATGACAATGAGGGAACTATGGTTATTCATATGGCAATATCCTGTGCATATGCACCTAAAGCAGGCCCAAGTTTGCCATTGTTACTGCTGTGTCTTATTGGGAGGGAAATGAGTCTTTGTGTCTGGCCGGTAGCACATGCAGGGTCAAGAACAATTATGTGGGTCCCTTCTCTCCTCTCTATTCCTTCCAATCTTCTTCAAGATTCTGGTTATTGTACACTGGAAATACAATTCCTAACAGCTGGCTCCATGGGGTAGGATACTGTACCCACAAGATCTGCAGAATCCTTTGTAGGCAGAGGCATGCGTGCCCCTTGGAAAGTTTGGAGCCTCTGTTGTTAAATTTGCTGAAGGCCTCTGTTAGTCTGTTGAGAAAGAAGGCAGAATTTTCTTCTCTTTCTTCAGTGACATCTTTGATTTTGTTATAGTGAAGAGGTCTCTTATTTCAACTGTTCATTCCTTTATAATAAAGTTTACTAATAAAATCCATGCATGTGTCCCTCCTAGGGTATAATTCCAGTCGGTATGTTCTTTATCTGGGAAGACGTGCACTTGGCTGATTCACATTAGCACCCAGATGGAATCTCCTTTGCTTGAGATTTAGCTTCCTCCCATGTACTGTGTTTTTAAGAGGTGTCATAAAGGGAGAAGTCTAAAGTCATAGGACTTTTCAAGTCAGTTAATGGGCTGAAGTAAAGGTCTTGGAGTGACTGCTGGTCCTTGAGATGTGGGAAGTCTCTCACACATCTCATGTCATGGGCTTGGATTGTTTCCACAGGGCTGGTAACTAACTTCCTTTTCTCTTCTTTTTTTCCCTTCCTTCCTTCCTTCCTTCCTTCCTTCTTCCTTTCTTCCTTCCTTCCTCCTTCCTTCCTTGTTCCTTCCTTCCTTCCTTCTTTCCTTCCTTCCTTCCTTTTTTCCTTCTTTGGTTTACCTTTTCTTTCTTAACCAAGATTTAATGTATATTTATTGTTAACACGTAGAACATATTCTATGAAGATTTCACTCTCTATCCATAATATTCAGTAAACACAAAAGAGAAAAGGAGGTATTTACATTAAGTTTTTAGCTACATTGATGAAATTCAAAGATGTTGATTTTATCACTGAAAAAATATGTCAATGTATTTCTTCATCAGGAACATCAACTGGACCTAGAACGTTTTTTTCAGCTTGAGATTTCCCTCAAATAAGAGATAGAAATACAAGTACATGTCTTATACTTTTAATGTTCTAGATTTAATGACATATAGAGTATAAGCCAATGTTTCTTTATTATTTTGACATGTGTCCTTATGTACTCAAGGATAAAGAAGCACAGCAGTAGGAAAGGGTGCCTCAGGCCAGGCTCAGAAAGAATCCATTCATAGTGTGCATAGCTGCAGAAAAGTTAGAGAGAAACAATGAACAAAGATGACAGGGTAGCATTCTCCTCTGGCCATGCTGATGTAGGAGAGTCTTATGTATTTCTGTTGCTTTCATTGGCTAATTATTAAAGAAAATTCTTGGCCTGATAGGTCAGAACATAGGTGGGTGGAGTAGACAGGACAGAATGCTGGGAAGAAGGGGAGTGAGGTAGAAGCCATGGAGCCAGCCACCAGGTCAGACATGCTGAATCTTTCCCGGTAAGCCACCACCTCGTGGTGCTACACAGATTATTAGAAATGGGTAAATCAAGATGTGAGAGTTAGTCAGTAACTAACTCTCTAGAGATAATGGGCCAGGCAGTGTTTAAATGAATACAATTTGTGTGTTGTTATTTCCGGGGCTAAGCTAGCTGTGCACGAGCTTAGAGGGATGAAGAGCAGGCCTGCCTGCAGCTCCTCAGTACAAAAGCTACCTGGGAGCCAGGTGGCGGGACACAGCCAGCTTCTCCTTTTACAGAGTGGCGCTCAATGTGGTAACTAAATCCACTTAAAAACCTGAGAGAGCTTAAACATAAGGGAAAGAGAGTTTAACACAGATTTTGTTGTTTACTAGGGCCTGCTGTAGAGATATTTCCTGTTTCAGCATTAGGCAGAAAAAAGCTGCGCCATTTTAAAACAGGGCTTCCTGGACTGTGCTGCTGGTGCAAACTCCGGCTATGGAGCATTTCTGGGCCTGAATGTTTGTGTGCCCACTTGGGGTCGGAAATGAAGTAGCTGAGACCATGTCCACGGCTTGGCTCTTCCTGCCTGAGTAGGGATCAGGTCTACTAGAAAGTGGCGGTTTTGAAATACCAGTTTCTGGGCTGTGCCGCCATCACTATCTCTGTCTGGCTTCTGCAGGAGACAGAGCTTTTGAATGGAGCATTTGGAGTAAAATGCTTGCTTGCTTGATGGCAATGTGGACTTGCTCTGTGCCTGGAACTGTGTGTGGCTCAGGGGCACCAAATGGCTGAGGCAGGAGCAGTTCTGGCTCTGCTCTGCCTGCTGAACTGTGCTGAACTCAGGCAGGAACTATCGTAATTATCATAATAACAGCGCATTAGGGTTTAGACTGGGCAGGATACAAGCAGTACCATATTACCTCTACATGGTGCAACTTAAGTTTTTAAGAAGTGCTTAGCATTTTAAGAAGTGCTCCTGGATAGTAAAAAATTACAGATGCACAATGGGACAGATTCAGACATAAAAGACCTCTAAATGGGTCACAGTGTTGGATGACTGTACGTAGGCTTGGGAGAGAAAAGAAAAAGAATATAGAGAATAAAGTTAATGCCTTAAAGAAAAAGGGTAAAGTCTTTAAAGAGACAGAGTACAGATTGTTTTAGATTTAAAAATGAATAAATAAATAAATAAATGTAAGCCAAGTAAAAATGGAAAATTCACAGAGAGTTTGGATTATGTACATTATGTTTTCTTTAAAATTTTTGACTGTGAAGGGGCTAATTACAGAGAGGCATTTCATTATATGGGCTGCCAAGCTAGACCAGAACGGATATCATAAGGGTATGACTTCAGAATTTGGATCTAAGAACATGATGCTTTGGAAAGGAGGTTCTTCTTTTGTTTTCACAGAGGATGAGACCCTGTGGTTTGCTTTTATCCCAATATGGTATGATAGACCACGCCCTCCTGAAAGGATGCTGTGAACACCCTCAAAAAATTACTTCACTCGACTGCCAACTGAGATGAACCTGGCACAAAGGATACACCATAAAAGACCTGATTAATAGCGCCCCTATACAGCAGGAAGAATTTTGGAGAGAAATAACTACGTCCATATTCCCAAACGTTGCTTATAAATGTTCTTTTACATTTAAAGGGGGCTATGATAGAGATATGAATAATTTGCATTGGTATAGATTTTAAGGTCAATCTTGTTATATGTATATGTATTTCTGATCTTGATAAAGGTATTGTGATTGTGTAGTTCATTTAAAAATGTAATGTATAATTAGGAAATAGAGGTTGTTAATGGATAATCATTAATAATAGTCAAGCTTGTAGTCATGTTAGATTTTCTAAATATATAGAGATATATTTCAGTTAGATAGGCATTCTTCATATCTTTCAGAGACTACAGAATATGGCATTTAATATTTTAATAACTTAGGGCTTAAAATGACACGTCTGCTCCTGACAGCACCAATCTGCTTGAAGAGGAAGATAGGCATTGAAGAGGCTCCTTATGGAGTTTGATAGCCATTTGGGCAAGAAACTGCTCTTGCCTGGACTGTTGCATGAACTGGACACAGAGAACCCGCAGAGAGGACTGCTGAACTTACCTAAAGGTGAGATGGTCTTTCAGGGTTCCTGATTCTTGAAAGAGTCTGTGAGACATTCTGCAGGACACAGCAGATAGTGACTGAACTGTCTTTGAATGTTCCTGCTTCATGGAAATGTCTGTTGGATACTATGGGCCTGAAGGCCGAAGAGGGATGCCTCAACGGTACAAAAGAACTTTGGGTGACTGTACAGGCAGCGAGATGTCTCTATTATTTCTAGAGTTTGGAAGTTGTTTATTTCTTGTTTGCTTAGGTAATATTATATCTTTCTGGAGTCTTTGTTGGAGTTGAAGAATGGATAGTCATAGTTATAGTTTTCCATTATTATGATAACGATATAGTTATAAATATTGTGACTGTAATTCTTGCTTTATAACTGTTTTGCTTTATGTAATTTTACTATGTTAAAGTGAAAGCCTTTCTTTTTTGTTTAAATAGAAAAAAGAGGAAATGATGTAGGAGAGTCTTATGTATTTCTGTTGCTTTCATTGGCTAATTAATAAAGAAACTGCTTGGCCTGATAGGTCAGAACATAGGTGTTTGGAGTAGACAGAACAGAATGCCGGGAAGAAGGGAAGTGAGGTAGAAGCCATGGAGCCAGCCACCAGGTCAGACATGCTGAATCTTTCCCAGTAAGCAACCACCTCGTGGTGCTACACAGATTATTAGAAATGGGTAAATCAAGATGTGAGAGTTAGCCAGTAACTAACTCTCTAGAGATAATGGGCCAGGCAGTGTTTAAATGAATACAATTTGTGTGTTGTTATTTCCGGGGCTAAGCTAGCCGTGCGGGGAGCTGGGCAGGACGAAAAGCAGGACTGCCCACAGCTCCTCACTACACCATGCTCTTTTCTGCTCTGTACTTTTGAAATTTTGGGGGGTGTCCTTAACCAGATGAGACTCCCAGAGGGGCATTTGACCCTGTGATGTTCAGGCCTTTTCTCTTAACTATCAGTTCTCTGCTTTGACAGATAACAGAGCAATGTCATCACCATAGTTAGAAGGTTGCCATGATTCTAGCATATATCTATTTTAAAAAGTTAATAACCTCTGCCAGTGTCTAAATGTCATAGTCAATCTCATTTTTTCACATTGATTCTCTTTTCTTCTTATAACGCATTCATTTGGAAAAGATTGAAATTTCTTCATTTTCCTAGAGTAACTGAGCACTTCATTCTTTGAGCACTTATGAGTTCATGAGGCCAAACTGTCCCTGAGTCTCCAGCCAAGAAAGATCTACAGAGAAGTATTTGACAGGCGTCACTCATGACCTGCTTTATGACCTCCAGAGAGAGTACACCATGTCTCCGTGTCTTATCTTCCCTGTGCAATCCTCTCAGCCCTTAGAGCCCATCACTCATAGATGAACTGGAGACTTCTCTGAGTGAGGAAATCAAAGTGAACATTGGAAGGGACAAAACGGCATCAGACTCTGAACTGTTGTCCTTCAACCAAATATCTCTGTGTAAGGTAGGTCACATGAGTTTCCCAGAGACATAGCCTTGTTGAGGACTTCTCCAGGTTAGTACCCTTCCTTAAATAATGACAATGGAGCCTCTTTTTTGGAAAAAAAGAAAATTTTGATTTAAAAGACCTTTTCCTCCCCTGCTGTCTCCTTCACACATACACACACAGACACACACAAACACACATACACACACACACACACACACACACATACGCACACACATTAGCAGATATCCTCTGTTAGAATTTTCCCACTTTGATTTGATAATTATTTATTTACCTATTTTTCTATCTATTATCTCTCTATAACTTTTAATTTCTAGTTGTTCTCTGATTATATTTTTAGAACTTGTTGACTTGTTGAATTATATTTTAGAAACAGAGAAAGGAAATTTTATCTTAGTTAGAAATCTGGGTGGATGGAAATGTCTCCTCAGAATCAAGCATCTCTGTCAACGGATCTCTGGTTTTTGTCTTTTTTTTTTTTTTGTTTCCTGTCAAGGGTACCGTGTTTACTGACATTCCAAAGTTTGTTGTGTATCTTTCATAAAATGTTGGGCTTCTCAGGAGTTCAAGTTATGTACATCACCTTGTCCTTTCTTCTTTGTTCTGGTGAGTATATTTTGCTGTACTAGATGAGAATTTTACACATAATCTTAAAAAACTCAGGGAGGAAAACTTCTGAAATACCAGAAATGATTGAATGAGCTTGTCTCACTGGGGTTGTAGTCCTTCAACTGGTCATGTTAGGAATGTCTCTAAAGTGACAGCAGTGGATTGTTCTTCTGACTAGTCCACTTGGAGAGGTTTGAAGAGAGCAGTGGGTTAGGAGGGGCTGGTCAGGCTTTCAGTCTCTACTCATTTGTCCTCCAGATTTCTCACCAAATCCTGCTGTCAAATGCAAAGTTGAGTGAGGACAGACTAATGTCATTAAATATGCCATTCTTTGAAGATGCTGTTTATTTGACAGTCTTAGGCTGTCTTATTTAAGGCCAACTTTAGCGGGTATTTTATCAACTATCACGTTCATGATTGGTTGTGAGTTTCAAAAGGAGGCATTTGTTAAACATTGGCTAGAATGTTTAACCTGATTTAATGTTTTTCAAGTTAAGTGAATACACAAAAGGCATTTTGAACTCTGAGGTCAGGGGATTTCACTTAATAATTATATAATGTTAATATATCCAGGTCCATTAACAAATGGAAGATGACACTTTTATATAAGAGAGCAGTATGAAATGCTAGTTTTTCAGTTATGTCTATATATCTGGGAATTGGAATTGTCTAGATTTGTGAGTATTTTTAGTTATTTTTTGCTACTGACAAAAGATTCTCATCTATTACTTGTAGCGTTGGCAATTTACATAGATTGTGCTACATGTAAATGTAGGTACTTCTCACGAAAAACATTATGAACAAGGTTGTTTTATGTTTTATCTGTGTTCTCTGTTTTGTTAATAGAAAGTTCCTTTAAAAGGTCAGCAAAAAAGGAACAAGTAAGTTACTATTATTTCATCTGGAAATTTAAAAATTAAATTTTTTTTATAAACTGAGCGATTAAATGTAAAATTTACCAAAGAAAATAAACTCTGCAAAAGTTAAAAAATGGTTTATTTTATTGCAATAAGTTCAAAACATCAAACCTGAGCTGTGAGAAGTTTATTATTGATACAAGATGTGAGAACGAGTTATGAGTTATCTTTTTTCCTTATTTATTTATTTAAAGAATTTCCACTTCCTCCCCTCCTCCCAATACCCTCCTGCTCCTGCTCCCCCCACTCCCTCTCCTCCTCCCTCCTCAATCTCAAGAGCAGTCAGGGTTTATGCCCTTTGGGAAATCCAAGTTCCTCCCCCCTTCCTCCAGGTCCAGGAAGGTGAACATCCAAACAGACCAGGAACCCGAAAAGCCAGTCCATGCAAACAAATGTCAAGACCCAGTGCCATTGTCAATGCCTTCTCAGTCAGCCCCCATTTCAGCCACATTCAGAGAATCTGGTTTGGTCACATGCTCCTTCAGTCCCAGTTCAGCTGGCCTTGGTGCGCTCTCATTCAATCAGTCCCCTTGTATCAGTGGGTGAACGCACCCTTCGCGGTCCTGATTTCCTTTTTCATGTTCTCCTTCCTTCTGCTCTTCATTTGGACCTTGGGGACTCAGTCCAGTGCTCCAATGGGGGTCTCCGTCTCTATCTCCATCCATTGTCGGATGAAGGTTCCCTCTGGTTCTGCTTTCATTGCTCACGATCTCATGCCCTCTGCTTCTCATTTGGACCTAGGGAGTTAAGTCCAGTGTTCCAATATTTGTCTCTGTCTCTATCTCCATCCTTCGCCATATGAAGGTTCTGTAGAGACATGCAAAATATTCATCAGTATGGTTATGGGCCAAGGACAGTTCAGGTACCCTCTCCTCTGCACCCATTGTTCCATTGTGCCCAGGGAACAATCTGGGGACCTATCCTTGGGCCTGGGAACCCCTCCAGAATCATGTCTCTTGCAAACCCTAAAATGGCTCCCTTAGTTGAGGTATAAACTTCCCTGCTCCCATAGCCATCCTTCCTCCCTCCCTCCTCCCATTCCCCCAAGCCATCCCCAATCCTCCCCCTCTCCCCTCTCCCTAACCAACTCCCCTTACTTCCACCACCCCACTCCCTGTGCACCCAAGTTTGCCTGGCAATCTTGTCTACTTCTAATATCCAGGAGGATAAATATATGGTTTTTTTCAGGTTCACCTTCTTATTTAGCTTCTCTAGGATCACAAATTATAGACTCAAAGACCTTTAATTATGACTAGAATCCACTTATGAGTGAGTACATACCATATTCCTCTTTTTGGGTCTGGGTTACCTCACTCAGTAAAGCGTTTTCTATTTCCATCCATCTGCATGCAAAATTCAAGATGTCATTGTTTTTTACCGCTGAGTAAAACTCTAATGTGTGTATGTTCCACACATTTTTAACCATTCTTCTATTGAGGGGCACCTAGGTTGTTTTCATGTTCTGGCTATTACAAATAGTGCAGCTATGAACATAGTTGAACAAATACTTTTGTAGTATGATAGAGCATCTCTTGGGTATATTCCCAAGAGTGGAATTGTTGGGTCCTGAGGGAGGTTGATTCCCAGTTTCCTGAGAAACCGCCACACTGATTTCCAAAGTGGCTGCACAATTTTGCATTCCCACCAACAAGGGATGAGTGTTTCTCTCCCTCCACATCCTCTCCAGCACAGGCTATCATTGGTGTTTTTGAGTTTAGCTATTCTGACAGGTGTAAGATGGTATCTCAAATTGGTTTTGATTTGCATTTCCCTGATCGCTAAGGAGGTTGAGCATCACCTTAAGTGTCTTTTGGCCATTCGAAGTTCATCTGTTGTGAATTCTCTGTTCAGTTCAGTACCCCATTTTTTAATTGGGTTAATTAGAGTTTTAGTGTCTAGTTTCTTGAGTTGTTTGTATATTTTGGAGATCAGACCTTTGTCTGATGAGGGGTTGGTGAAGATCTTCTCCCAGTCTGAAGGTAGCCTTTTTGTCTTACTGACGGTGTCCTTTGCTTTACAGAATCTTCTCAGTTTCAGGAGGTCCCATTTATTCATTGATTCTCTTATTGTTTGTGCTACTGTGGCTCTACTTAGGAAGTGGTCTCCTGTGCCTATATCTTGTAGACTACTTCCCACTTTCTCTTCTATCAGGTTCAAAGTGGTCAGATTAATGTTGATGCCTTTTATCCATTTGGACCTGAGTTTTGTGCATGGTGATAGATATGGATCTACTTTCATTCTTCTACAGGTTGACATCCAGTTATGCCAACACCATTTGTTGAAGATGCTTTCCTTCTTCCATTGTATACCTTTAGTTCTCTTGTCGAAAATCAGGTGTTCATAGGTTTGTGGCTTAATATCTGGGTCTTCTATTCGATTCCATAGGTCGACTTCTCTGTTCTTATGCCAATATCAAGCTGTTTTCAATACTGTAGGTCTGTAATAGAGTTTGAAGTCAGGGATGGTAATGCCTCCTGAAGTTCCTTTATTGTATAAGATTGTTTTGGCTATTCTGAGTTTTTTATTTTGCCATATAAACTTGATTATTGTTTTCTCAAGGTCTGTGAAGAAGTTTGATGGGATTTTTATCGGGATTTCATTGAATCTATAGATTGCTTTATGTCGAATTGCATTTTTACTATGTTGATTCTCCCAATCCAGGAGCAGGGGAGGTCTTTCCATTTTCTGGTATCCTCCTCAATTTCTTTCTTCAAAGACTTAAAGTTCTTGTCAAATAGGTCTTTCACTTTCTTGGTTAGAGTAATCCCAAGATATTTTATGCTATTTGTGGCTATCATGAAGGGTGATGTTTCTCTGATTTCCCTCTCTGCTTCTTTATCCTTTGTGTATAGAAGGGCACCCGATTTTTTGGAGTTGATCTTGTATCCTGCCACATTAGTAAAGGTGTTTGTCAGCTGTAGGAGTTCTTTGGTAGAGTTTTTGGTGTCGCTTATGTACACTATCATATCATCTGCAAATAACAAAAGTTTAACTTCATCCTTTCCAATTCGAATCCCCTTGATCCGCTTATGTTGTCTTATTGCTATTGCTAGAACTTCAAGCACTATATTGAAGAGGTATGGAGAGAGTGGACAGCCTTGTCATGTTCCTGATTTTAGTGGAAAGGCTTTGAGTTTCTCTCCATTCAATTTGATGTTAGCTGTTGTCCTGTTGTATTTTGCTTTTATTATATTTAGGTACAATCCTTGTATCTCCAGTCTCTCCAACACCTTTATCATAAATGGGTGTTGAATTTTGTCAAATGCTTTTTCAGCCTCCAGTGTAATGATCATATGGTTTTTTTCTTTCAGTTCATTTATATGATGGATTACATTGATAGATTTTTGTATGTTGAACCAGCCCTGCATCTCTGGGATGAAGCCTACTTGATCATAATGGATAATTTTTCTGATGTGTTCTTGGATTCAGTTTGCCAGTATTTTATTAAGAATTTTTGTGTCGATGTTCATGAGTGAGATTGGCCTGTAATTCTCTTTCTTGGTTGTGTCTTTGTGTGGTTTTGGTATCAGAGTAACTGTAGCTTCATAAAAGGAGTTTGGCAATGTCTTTTCTGTTTTTATATTGTGGAATACATTAAGGAGTATAAGTATTAGTTCTTCCTGGAAGTTGTGGTAGAATTCTGCATTATAACCATCTGGTCCCGGCCTTTTTTTGGTAGGGAGATTTTTGAAAACAGCTTCTAATTCTTCGCGACTAACAGTTCTATGTAGATTGTTCACTTGGTCTTGGTTCAACTTTGGTACATGGTACTTATCTAAAAAAAAATGTCCATTTCTTTTACATTTTCTAATTTTCAGGAATGTAAACTTTCGTAGTAAGATCTAATGATTCTGTCAATTTCCTCTGTGTTTGTGGTTATGTCCCCCTTTTCATTTCTGATCTTATTAATTTGCATGTTCTCTCTCTGCCGTTTGATTATTTTGGATAGGGGTTTGTCGATCTTGTTGATTTTCTCCAAGAACCAGCTTTTTGTTTCATTGATTCTTTGGATTGTTTTCTGTGTTTCTATTTTGTTGATTTCAGCCCTCAGTCTGATTATTTCCAGTCTTCTAATCCTCCTGGGTGAATCTGCTTCTTTTTTTTTTCTAGAGATTTCAGGTGTGCTGTTAAGTCTCCAATATGTGCTTTCTCCATTTTCTTTAATTGTGCACTTAGTTCTATGAACTTTCCTCTTAGCACTGCTTTCATAGTGTCCCATAGGTTTTAGTATGTTGTGTCTTTATTTTCATTAAATTCAAGGAAGACTTTAATTTCTTTCTTTATTTCTTCCTTTACCCAGGGGTGATTTAGTAGTTGACTGTTCAACTTCCATGAATTTGTTGGCTTCCTGGGGGTAGCATTGTTGTTGAATTCTAACTTTAATCCATGGTGATCTTCCAAGACACAGGTGGTTACTAATATTTTTTTTATCTGTGGAAGTTTGCTTTGTTACCGAGTATGTGGTCAATTTTCAAGAAGGTTACATGTGCTGCAGAGAAGAAGGTATAGTCTTTCCTATTTGGGTGGAGTGTTCTATAGATGTCTGTTAAGTCCATTTGATTCAATACCTCCAATAATTCTCTTATTTCTCTGTTAGGTTTCTGTCTAATTGATCTGTCCATTGGTGAGAGAGGTGTGTTGAAGTCTCCTACTATTAGTTTGTGTGGTTTGATGACTGCCTTGAGTTCTAGAAGAGTTGTTTTTACATATGTGGGTGCCTTTATATTAGGGGCATAGATATTCAGGATTGAGACTTCCTCCTGGTTAATTGTTCCTGTTATGAGTATGAAATGTTCATCTCCATCTCTTCTGATTGATTTTAGTTTGAAGTTGATTTTGATAGATATTAGAATGGCCACACCCACTTGTTTCTTAGGTCCATTTGCTTGGAAAACCTTTTCCCAACACTTTACTCTGAGTAGGTGTCTGTCTTTGTGGTTGAGGTGTGTTTCTTGTAAACAGCAAAATGTTGGATCCTGTTTTCGTATCCAATCTCTAAGTCTGTGCATTTTTATAGGTGAATTGAGTCCATTGATATTAAGTGATATTAATGACCAGTGGTTGATGACTCCGGTCATTTTTTTTGGGCGGGTAGTAGAGTGTATATGTTTTCCTTCTTTGAGTTGTGCTTTTGAAGATGTCTGAGTTATTGTAGGCAGTGTTGGGAATTTTGGCTTCCTTGGGTTGTGATTTTCCTTGTAATATTCTTTGTAAGGCTGGATTTGTAGCAACGTATTGTTTAAATTTGTTTTTATCCTGCAATATTTTGTATTCTCCGTTGATAGTGAAAAATAGCTTGGCTGGGTATAGTTGTCTGGGCTTTCATCCCTGGTCTCTTAGTTTCTGCGGTACCTCTATCCAGGACCTTCTGGCTTTCATGGTTTCCATAGAGAAGTCTGGTGTAAGTCTGATCGGTTTACCTTTATAAGTTACTTGACCTTTTTCCTTCGCAGCTCTTAATATCCTTTCTTTAATCTGAATGCTTTGTGTTTTGTTTATTATATGGCGAGAGGATGTTTTTTTTTGATCCAGTCTATTCGGTGTTTTGTATTCTTCTTGGACCTTCATAGGAATATTGTTCTTTAGGTTGGGAAAGTTTTCTTCTATAATTTTGTTGTATATATTTTCTGGACCTTTGATCTGTAATTCTTCTCCTTCTTCTACCCCTATTATTCTTAGATTTGGTTTTTTTTATTATGTCCCAGATTTCCTGAATGTTTTGTGATGAAAATTTGTTGGATTTGCTGTTTTCTTTGGTCAGAGCGTTTATTTTCTCTATGGTGTCTTCATAATCTGAGATTCATTCTTCTATCTCTTGTATTCTATTGGTTATGCTTGTTCTTGAAGTCTCTGTTTGTTTACCTAGCTTTTCCATATCCAGCAGTCCCTTGGATTGTGTTTTCTTCATTGCCTTCATTTCAGTTTTCAATTCTTGAACTTATTCCATTACCTGTTTGATTGTTTTTTCCTGGTTTCCCAGGGTATCGTTTACGAATTTACTCATTTCTTCAAACTTTTTGTCATATTTCTCTTCTATTTCTTTACTCATTTCGTCAATCTTTTTGTTATATTTTTCTTCTATTTCTTTAAGTGAGTTATTCATACCCTGTTTAAGAGACTCTATTGCTTTCATAATGACACTGTTTTCCACTTCTTCCGGAATAGGGTGTTCAAGTCCTTCTGTCGTAAGATCGCAGGGATCTGGTGTTTTCATGTTGTTTTTCAGATTGTTGGAGGAATTCTTGCTTGGCTCCTGCCCAACTCTTCCTTCAGATGTGTTCTCCAATGGCTCTTCCCTCTGCTAGGTCTTCTGCTATAGGATTAGTGCCCCTTGCTGGCCAGGAATCTCTTTGCCTGCAGTCCTACCTTGCCACAGGCAGGCCCTACATTGCATCTCCTGCTACAGGATCAGTGCCACTTGCTGGTCAGAAATCTCCCTGCCTCATAAGTTATCTTTTTGAAAATTTAGTTTGCATACCAACCACAGTTTCCCCTCCCTTTTCTTCTCTACTTCCGTTGCCCACCTTCTTTCCACCCATCCCTCCAACCACTCCTCCTCATTCTCTCTTCTAAAGTGGTAAAGCCTCCCATGGGAGTCAGCAAAGCATGGCATATCAGGTCAAGACAGGTCCAACCTCCTCCCTCTCCCATCAAGGCTGGGCAATGCATCCTACTCTAGGGACCAGGTTTCAAAAGAGCCAACATCAAGGACACGTCCTGTTCCTACTGCTATGGTCCCCAGGAAAGAACAAGCTACACAACTCTCACCCATAGGCAGAGGGCCTAGGTTGGTCCCATGCTGACTCTTTAACTGTTGATCCAGAGTCTATGAACTGCCACAAGCTTAGGTCAGCTGTCTCTGTAGGTTTCCCTGTCAAGATCTTGATGCAGCTTGCTCCTATAATCTCTCCTCTTTCTTTTCACCTGGACTCCCAGAGCACTTTGCAATATATTATTGATACAAGATTTAACAGTTAGTGTTCTAATTCTAAATTGCAGCCATTCTCAATCAGATACATAATTTAATACCTATATAGACCAGAGGGGACAGTTCAGTGGTTAACTTAGCATTAAAAATAATGACTTCCATAACGCACATAGTAGAATATTATTTTGAAAATAAATGTTAAATTTGAAAATAAATACATTGTCCCTATAAATACCAATAAATCTGTGGCATATATGTCACAAGGGTGAAAAAAAAGTCAGGCAAATGTATATAACATATATAGCATTTCTTTCTTTGCATAAATTGTCAAAATATCTAAAATTGAACATGTGTATTTATGAATATGCACATAAATGAGATGTATTGACATGTAAATATACAGTAAATATAGGCATTGGATTGCTGAGGAATTACAGAAGGATGAGAGAATAATCAATAAAAGGTTTATTTTGGTGAGAGGGGCATTAAGGAAATGTCTGGTGGGGAAGCACAGATGTTATAATTGAGTTGGCTGCCTTATAAGATCATGTTATACTAGCTGTGTGGTGTTCAAATTAGTAGACGCATAAAACTATAAATTTAATAATTACTTCTCATGTTTATATGTGTTATACGTCCTTTGCATCTATGTGTAGATAATATTTGAACATTGTGTATGATATTATATACTAAGAGTAAGAACAATGTATTCAACAGCCTAAGGTCTAATACAGTTATGTTATCTTTGTGTTTTAGAGACACGTATGTGATTATTATAGAGAGTCAATGAATTGTTCTGGATACAAGACCCCAATCTGTGGAACCGATGGCATTACTTATCCCGACATATGCATTTTTTGTAGAATATCCAAGTAAGAATACGATACTCAATATAGGGTCTTCATAAGTAATGAACACTTAGTATGAAAATCTTAGATTTGTGTTATTGATATTGCTCGTAATACACAGAAAAAATGACCCTACCAAACCAATGTGATATGAAAGGCAGAGAAACATGTGTACCTCCCTTTAATATTGTGATTTCTGAAAGTGGCTTTTACATTTGGGACTTAAGGCTAGAGTCATGCAAATAAACAAATCAATTACTTTAATTATTAGGAATTCCTAATATCTGATGTACGAACATTATGAAATAATTCCAAAGCTGGTGCTCAATAGATCTCTGTTGCAGTCTGCAATCTTTCAGGCTGGCAAGAAACTCCCTGGCAGCATCCTCTTATCCCCTGAACTTCATGGAAGATTCTACACCACAGGATGCTCTAGGATTCCTCTGTCCAATATCCCTGTCCTTTGTGCTCTGTGATCACATAGCTGTGTCTCATGTATAACTAGTTCTTCTGTTAATTTATTTCATATGGTCTCAAAGGCTTTTCCACTTCACAATCCTCTAATTATCATATCTTTCTCAAGGCCTCCTAACAACCTGCAATGCTTTCCGTTTTTGAGTCTGGGCAAGTTCCATGACTAAGGCAGAGCTAAGGCAGTAGAAATGGTCCAGTACACCCACAGCAGGATGTTTGCAGACGCCAGGAGCAGTCAGGGTTTAGTTGCTCATAAAGGACAAATTAATGTTTCCAATTCAGTTTTTCCCCTTTGAAACTTCATGGCACAATTCTCAATGAGTTTGAAGTAATCTTTCCATAATTTCTTCAGACATTTTTTGACCTCCTTTATTTTTTCCTTTGCAGAGAAACCAATGGTTTCATCAACATGGCACATTTTGATAATTGCTGAGTTTTCATGGAGCTACGTAATCCTGGGGATCTTATCATGATCACAGTTTTGCCCTGAAGTCTACCGTGGATTGGTGATTTTATCATCAGGATCCCATAGCCCTAGAAGATTTGATGAATCTCTGTGTAGGATACACAAGCAAGACTAGACTGTCATTGTTCTTTTTGTTTCTCAGAACCTCTGATCTCAATGTTTTACTTCATAGGATGAACTAATGAAACTTAAATTCCTAATTCTTAATTTTCCATTCTGTAAACTAACAACTTAAAACCATCAATACTCAATTTATAGTTCTTAATAAAATCTTAAAGTGTACACTTTTTCATGAAAATCTTTTCGGAGTTGCAGGAAATGCCCAGTGGTTAGGGAAATTTGGTGAGTTTGGAGAGAACCCAAGTCTGGTCTCCAGAACCCATGTCCACTATCTTTTAACATCTGTCTTCAAGGGGATCTCATACCATCTTCTGTCTGCCATGGACACCTGCATAGACATGTTATACATACAAACACATAATCTAATAAATAAATAAAAATCTTTTACAAACCATGTTGATTGATTCCTTCGATAATAAGGAACCAAAACACATTCTTTTGACAAATACATATGACAAACTTTGAAGCAGAGTGCTGATTTTTGAATCATTCCTGTGGGAATGACGTTTTCTGGATATAACTCTTGCCTCAGGAGTTGAGCTTTTGTGTCTTGACCTCGCAAGGAAACTGACCATATACATCAAGACTATTTCATCTTAAATAGTATTATTCTCTCTATATATTTTGTGATGCCTCTATGTCCTGAGTCAGAACTATGATTGAGTGTATGGTGGGAACTGGTCACCTGAAGCAGCAGTTCCAGAACTGTGGGGCATCCATCAATGAAGACTACAGGCACATGCACTGAAGCCAACAGATAGTCTTCATTAGCTGGCAGATGACTGCACTGAGTATTCCTGCTCCCAGTGTAGTCCTGAACCTTTTTCAGGGTGAGCTTTTAAGCCTCAAACTCCTGTTCTGTGTTGGCATACTTCAGTTAAGAAGAGCAGTTAGCCTAAAGCAAAACTATAGAAGCCAAAAACAACATTGGTACATTATTGGCTTTCACAGATCCATGGACTAGGATGGATTAGGTCTTCATTTTAGTCCTGCTATGTTGTGCTGTGTATGTGCTGAGCGTTACAGTCTGAAGAGTACTACCATCTTTTTTTTTATTCATTTATTTATAAAAAATTTCCACATCCTCCCCTCCTCCCAGTATCCTCCCATTCCCCCCACTCCCTCTTCTCCTCCCTCTCCAGTCCCAAGAGCAGTCAGGGCTTCCTGCCCAGTGGGAAGTCCAAGTTCCTCCCCTTCTCCCAATACCCTCCCACTCCTCCCACTTCTTCGCCTCATCCCTCTCCAGACCCAAGAGCAGTCAGGGCTTCCTGCCCTGCAGGAAGTCCAAGTTCCTCCCCACTCCCTCCAGGTCCAGGAAGGTGAGCATCCAATCAGACCAGGATCCCAGAAAGCCAGTACATGCAGACCAAGACCCAGTGCCATTGTCAATGGCCTCCCAGTCAGCCCCCATGTCAGCCACATTCAGAGAATCCGACCCGATCACAAGCTCGTTCAGTCCCAGTTCAGCTGGCCCTGGTGAGCTCCCACCAGACCAGTCCCCTTGTATCAGTGGGTGAATGAACGCCCCCCTCGCGGTCCTGAGTCTTTCTTGTTTTCCCTCCTTCTGCTCCTCATTTGGACCTTGGGGGCTCAGTCCAGTGCTCCAAAGTGGGTCTCCTCTATCTGCATCTATCTTCTGGTGAAGATTCCCTCCGATCCTGCCTTCCTTGCCCGTACTCTCCCTCCCTCTGCTTCTCATTTGGACCCAGGGGGTCAAGCCCAGTGTTTCAATGTGTGTCTCTGTCTCTGTCTCCATCCATCGCCAGATGAAGGTTCCCTCTGGTTCTGCCTTCCTTGTTCACGTTCTCCCTCCCTCTGCTTCTCATTTGAACCTAGGGAGTTAAGTCCAGTGTTCCAATGTGCGTCTCTGTCTCTGTCTCCATCCATCGCCAGATGAAGGTTCTTTGGTGATATACAAAACATTCATCAGTATGGTCATGGGCTAAGGCCAGTTCAGGTACCCTCTCCTCTGCTGCCCAGGGAACAAATTGGGAACCTCTCCTTGGGCCTGAGAACCCCTCCAGAATCAAGTCTCTTGCAAACCCCAAAATGGCTCCCTTAGTTGAGATGCACACCTCCCCGCTCCCACATCCATCCTTCCTCCCTCCCCCCCATTGCACTCCCCCAAGCCATCCCCAATCCTCCCCCTCTCCCTTCTCTCCAACCATCTCCCCTTACTTCTACCTCCCCACGTCCCGTGCACACAAGTTTGCCTGGCAATCTTGTCTAATTACAATATCCAGGATGATAACTACATGATTTTCCTCAGGTTCACCTTCTTCTTTAGCCTCTCTAGGAACACGAATTATAGGCTCAAAGATCTTTAATTATGGCTAGAATCCACTTATGAGTGAGTACATACCATATTCCTCTTTTTGGGTCTGGGTTACCTCACTCAGTAAAGCGTTTTCTATTTCCATCCATCTGCATGCAAAATTCAAGATGTCATTGTTTTTTACCGCTGAGTAAAACTCTAATGTGCATATGTTCCACACCTTCTTTAATCATTCTTCTATTGAGGAGCACCTAGGTTGTTTCCAGGTTCTGGCTATTACAAATAGTGCTGCTATGAACATAGTTGAACAAATGCTTTTGTAGTATGATAGGGCATCTCTTGGGTACATTCCCAAGAGTGTAATTGCTGGGTCCTGAGGGAGGTTGACTCCCAGTTTCCTGAGAAACCGCCACAATGATTTGCATTCCCACCAACAAGGGATGAGTTTTCCCCTCACTCCACATCCTCTCCAGCATAGGCTATCATTGGTGTTTTTGAGTTTAGCTATTCTGACAGGTGTAAGATGGTATCTCAAAGTTGTTTTTATTTGCATTTCCCTGATCACTAAGGAGGTTGAGCATGCCTTAAGTGTCTTTTGGCCTTTCGAAGTTCATCTGTTTGAATTCTCTGTTCAGTTCAGTACCCCATTTTTTAATTGGGTTAATTAGAGTTTTAGTGTCTAGTTTCTTGAGTTGTTTGTATATTTTGGAGATCAGACCTTTGTCTGATGAGGGGTTGGTGAAGATCTTCTCCCAGTCCGAAGGTAGCCTTTTTGTCTTACTGACAGTGTCATTTGCTTTACAGAAGCTTCTCAGTTTCAGGAGGTCCCATTTATTCATTGATTCTCTTATTGTCTGTGCTACTGGGGTCCTACTTAGGAAGTGGTCCCCTGTGCCTATATCTTGTAGACTACTTCCCACTTTCTCTTCTATCAGGTTCAAAGTGGTCAGATTAATGTTGATGTTTTTAATCCATTTAGACTTGAGTTTTGTGCATGGTGATAGATATGGATCTACTTTCATTCTTCTACAGGTTGACATCCAGTTATGCCAACACCATTTGTTGAAGATGCTTTCCTTCTTCCATTGTATACCTTTAGTTCTCTTGTCGAAAATCAGGTGTTCATAGGTTTGTGGGTTAATATCCGGGTCTTCTATTCGATTCCATATGTCGACTTCTCTGTTCTTATGCCAATACCAAGCTGTTTTCAATACTGTAGGTCTGTAGTAGAGTTTGAAGTCAGGGATGGTAATGCCTCCAGAGGTTCCTTTATTGTATTACATTGTTTTGGCTATTCTGGGTTTTTTATTTTGCCATATAAACTTGATTATTGTTTTCTCAAGGTCTGTGAAGATGTTTGATGGGGATTGCATTGAATCTATAGATTGCTTTTGGTAGAATTGCCATTTTTGCTATGGTGATCCTCCCAATCCAAGAGTAAGGGAGATCTTTCCATTTTCTGGTATCCTCCTCAATTTCTTTCTTCAAAGATTTAAAGTTCTTGTCCAATAAGTCCTTCACTTCCTTTGTTAGAGTTACTCCAAGATATTTTATGCTATTTGTGGTTATCGTCAAAGGTGATGTTTCTCTGATTTCCCTCTCTGCTTCTTTATCCTTTGTGTATAGAAGGGCACCCGATTTTTTTGGAGTTGATCTTGTATCCTGCCACATTACTAAAGGTGTTTATCAGCTGTAGGAGTTCTTTGGTAGAGTTTTTGGGATCACTTATGTACACTATCATATCATCCGCAAATAACAAAAGTTTAACTTCATCCTTTCCAATTTGAATCCCCTTGATCCCCTTATGTTGTCTTATTACTACTGCTAGAACTTCAAGCACTATATTGAAGAGGTATGGAGAGAGTGGACAGTCTTGTTGTGTTCCTGATTTTAGTGAAATGGCTTTGAGTTTCTCTCCATTCAGTTTGATATTAGCTGTCTTCTTGCTGTATATTCCTTTTATTATATTTAGGTATGATCCTTGTATTCCCCATCGCTCCAACACCTTTATCATAAAGGGGTGCTAAATTTTGTCAAATGCTTTTTCAGCATCCAATGAAATGATCATAAGATTTTTTTCTTTCTTTTTATTTATATGATGGATTACATTGATAGATTTTTGTATGGTGAACCAGTCCTGCATCTCTGGGATGAAGCCTACTTGATCATAATGGATAATTTTTCTAATGTGTTCTTGGATTCAGTTTGCCAATATTTTATTAAGAATTTTTGTGTCAATGTTCATGAGTGAGATTGGCCTGTAATTCTCTTTCTTGGTTGTGTCTTTGTGTGGTTTTGGTATCAGAGTAACTGTAGCTTCATAAAAGGAGTTTGGCAATGTCTTTTCTGTTTTTATATTGTTGAATACATTAAGGAGTATAGGTATTAGCTCTTCCTGGAAGTTCTGGTAGAATTCTGCATTATAACCATCTGGTCCCGGCCTTTTTTTGGTAGGGAGATTTTTGATAACAGCTTCTAATTCTTCGCGACTAACAGTTCTATGTAGATTGTTCACTTGGTCTTGGTTCAACTTTGGTATATGGTACTTATCTAAAAAAATGTCCATTTCTTTTACATTTTCCAATTTTGTGACATACAGGCTTTTGTAGTAAGATCTAATGATTCTCTGAATTTCCTTTGTGTCTGTGGTTATGTCCCCTTTTTCCTTTCTGGTCTTATTAATTTGCATGTTCTCTCTCTGTCATTTGATTATTTTGGATAGGGGTTTGTCGATCTTGCTGATTTTCTCCAAGAACCAGCTTTTTTTCATTGATTCTTTGGATTGTTTTCTGTGTTTCTATTTTGTTGATTTCAGCCCTCAGTCTGATTATTTCCAGTCTTCTGCTCCTCCTGGGTGAATCTGCTTCTTTTTTTTTTTCTTGAGATTTCAGGTGTGCTGATAAGTCTCCAATGTGTGCTTTCTCCGTTTTCTTTAATTGGGCACTTAGTGCTATGAACTTTCCTCTTAGCACTGCTTTCATAGTGTCCCATAGGTTTGAATATGTTTTGTCTTTATTTTCATTAAATTCAAGGAAGACTTTAATTTCTTTCTTATTTCTTCCTTGACCCAGGGGTGATTTAGTAGTTGACTGTTCAACTTCCATGAGTTTGTTGGCTTC